TGTCCATACTGGACATTAATGACAACAGTCCCAAGTTTCTGCAGAACTTGTACCGCATTAATGTTAACGAAGATATAGCCGTGGGAACCAAGATTCTGGATGTCAAGGCCACAGATGAGGACTCTGATATCAATGGTCTTGTCACGTACAACATCGAAAAGGGTGACCCCATAGGCCAGTTCTCGATAGATCAGAAAAACGGAACGATAAGCGTGTCGAGACCCTTGGATCGGGAGACAATTTCGCACTATAACCTGGAAATTCAGGCCTGCGACCATGGAACTCCCAATAACTGCAACAGTGTGCCAGTGAATGTGAATATATTGGACACAAACGACAATGCGCCCCTCTTTTCCAGCGCCAACTACAGTGTTGTGCTGCAAGAAAACCGACCCCTGGGCTACATATTCCTCACATTCAAAATATCAGACGCAGACGAATCACCCAATACCACTCCCTACACATTCGACATTCGGTCGGGCAACGAGGGCGGACTATTCCGCCTGGAGCAAGATGGATCGCTGAGCACTGCCTCGCGGTTCAATCACAACCTTCAGGATGAGTTCGTGATTCAGGTTCGGGTGTTTGACAACGGCACACCGCCACTGTATTCCGATGCCTGGGTGGTGGTGAAAGTAATCGAGGAAAGTCAATACCCTCCAATAGTCACTCCTTTGGAGGTGACAATCAACTCGTTTGAGGACGATTTCTCTGGCGCCTTCATTGGAACACTTCACGCCTCCGATCAGGACAAGTATGACGAACTGAACTTCAGTTTGGTATCCGGTCCCGAGGACATGTATCAGAGCTCCAAGCTGTTTAACGTCTCCAACAAAACGGGAAAGATCTACGCCATATCCAACCTCGACATTGGCCTGTATAAGCTTAATGTGTCCGTTTCGGATGGCAAATTCCAGGTCTTCTCGATGGTCAAGATCAATGTGGAGCTGGTCACCAACGACATGCTCAAGGAATCAGTTGTCATTCGCTTCAGCAGGATTTCACCATCGGAGTTCCTGCTCAGTCACAGGAAAACGTTCATGCGCTCCATTCGCAACATCATGCGTTGTCGCCAAAAGGATGTGATCCTCATTACCTTGCAAACGGAAGCCACGCATCACTCTGTGGCCACTCGACATGCCAGATCGATTGAGTCCAATTTAAATGTGGTGTTTGCAGTGCGAAAACAGCAAATTATTCCCGACTCCGATGAGTTCTTCACCAGCGATGAGATTCGACAAACGCTGATCGACAAGAAGAACGAGATCGAGAACGAAACCAACTTGGTTGTGGAGGAGATACTGCCCTCCACCTGCCAGAGCAATCAAAACTCCTGTGTTCACGGGGAGTGCAAGCAGATCTTGCGGATCCAGAAGAACAATGTCACGACCACCTTTACGGATGTGATAAGTTTCGCTGCTCCATCGTACAATCGGGTGAACAGATGCGTCTGCAGGCCAGGTTTCGATGGGAAGCACTGTAACGAGACGGTAAATGCCTGCTCCACGGATCCGTGCTCGCCGCAGAGGATCTGCATGCCATCGGGATCGGTGCTGGGCTACCAATGCGTGTGTCCCAAGGGCTTTTCGGGAACGTACTGCGAGAGAAAGTCATCGAAGTGCAGCAATGAATCCTGTGACATTGGTCTGTTCACTGCGGTTTCGTTCGGCGGAAAGAGCTATGCCCACTACAAGATCAACAAAATCAAGGCCAAGTTCACGCTGGAAAATGAATTCTCGTATTCGCTGCAGATAAGAACTGTGCAGCAAACTGGCACCCTGCTATACGCCAGCGGCAAAGTGGACTACAACATTCTGGAGATCATAAACGGAGCCGTGCAGTACCGATTCGATCTGGGCTCCGGTGAGGGAGTCATTAGCGTTTCGAGCATCAACATCTCCGATGGGGAATGGCACCTGATCAGTCTGGAGCGATCGCTCAACAGTGCCAAGCTGATGGTGGACAACAAGCACGTCTCACACGGCAGTGCGCCGGGTGTGAATGGGATCCTGAACATCCAGTCGAACGACATCTTTGTGGGCGCCGAAGTGCGACCACATCCATCGATCATCGGCTACGAGGACATTCAGCGTGGCTTCATCGGTTGCATGGCGAACATAAAGATAGCCAAGGAGTCACTGCCCCTGTACATTTCCGGCGGCAGCACCATTGCTGCCCTCAAGCGGTTCACGAACGTGGAGTTCAAGTGCGATCCGTCCAATGTGCTGGTCCGCCTGGGCATTTGCGGATCGCAGCCGTGTGCGAATAGTGGCATCTGCAAGGAACTTGGTGCTGATGCATTTGAGTGTGCCTGCCAGCCGCGATATTCGGGCAGGCACTGCGAGATCGATCTCGATCCGTGCTCGTCGGGACCTTGTTTGTTCGGCGGACGGTGCGACTACCACGGACCCAACAACTACAGCTGCACGTGTCCGATTCACTTGTCTGGTCGCAGGTGCGAGTACGGCAAGTTCTGCACCCCGAATCCGTGCAAGAATGGCGGGATTTGCGAGGAGGGCGATGGCATATCGCACTGCATGTGCCGGGGCTACACTGGTCCCACCTGTGAGATCGATGTGGACGAGTGCGAGAACCAGCCGTGTGGTAATGGAGCAACCTGCATCAACGAGCCGGGCAGTTTTCGGTGCATTTGTCCCTCGTATCTCACAGGTGCCAGCTGCGGAGATCCACTGTACTCGAACTCGATTTCCACAAAGCTGAAGAACTTTTCGATAGAGCACATTAGTGGTATCATATCGGGAGTGGCCGTGGTGCTGGTGATCATTAGTTGCGTCCTGTGCTGTGTGGTAATTCGGAGGAATTCATCCTCGAAGCGAAGGAACCGACTTGAAAAGGACAAGAACAAGCCGTCCTACAAGGAGGCGAACCTAAACTCGTTGGTCGACAAGGACAACTACTGCAAGCCGAATGTTAAGTTGAGTAACTTGGAGGTGAACCAGCGACCCATTAGCTACACCGCTGCCCCCAATGATAACCTGTTCATGAGCAACAGGAATTTCGTCAACAATTTGGATATACTGCGAAGCTACGGTTCGGCTGGCGATGAACTGGAAAATGTGCCATTTGAGTACCAGAAGGTGAATCGAAACAAACAGCATGTTAACATAAACACCTGCCATTCCGCCGATGCCGATAATGCCTACAAACAAGAGTGGTGTGAGCAGATGCATTTAAGAACATTCAGTGAAAACAAACTGAACAATGGTTAGTACTCATGTGTAAACTTTTAAATTTTGGTATAATATAATGATAAATACTTCCTGCCTTCCTTTTCAGAACTTAAACGTGATTTCGGACCCTCAGTAAGTCGCTTTTCAACGGGCAAACTAATCCAAGTTGAAATGCCCAACGTGTGCCACTCCTCCAGTGCGAATTTCGTTGATTACTCAGCTCTTGCCAATGGTCAGTACCATTGGGACTGCTCCGACTGGGTTCGCAAAAGCCATAATCCCTTGCCAGACATAACCGAAGTTCCTGGAGCAGAAATAGCCGACTCGTCGAGCCTACACAGCAATGATAGCAACGAGTCCAAGTCGAAGAAGGCCTTTTTCGTTCACAGTGAGTGTAGTTTTATTAACATATATTCTAGTTTATGTATAATCAAATACTTACTTAACCACTAAGGAGAAGACGGAGATGTCGATCCGACTAGGGATATAGCTGCACTGAACGAGGATATCGGATCGGAGTATTTGGATTCGGAAGCGGAGAGCTGTTTGGAGCCGTTTATGTTGCCGAGATCAAGTAATCAGCCACTTTCAAGACTGAGTTCTTTTAATAATATCGAGAATGAAGACTATAAATCAAATACAGGTAATGTAAATTGAGTTCTATTGAAATCAAGCTCCCTCTATGTTTTATAAGAAAACTTTGATCCTTGGTTAAAGAGACTAGAAAGCACATCATCATCCATTGTTTTCAACTTTATATTAAATGATTAAACTAACCGGAAGTTTTTTGTTCATATAATTTATATAGCTCTAATTACTTAGCGCAACTATTTATTATTTTATTTCCTACATTTCATAGCCCTACCACTTGTTATTTTCTTGAACTATTTAGCACTAGCATAACATCTATGTTTACTAATCTATTTAACTACTTCATTTCATGCAATCAGTGCCTTTACCGTCGAAAGTTAGTCATTTGTGTAAGTTTTGATCAAACATAAGAAATAATCAAATTTTTGTATCAATACTCAATTTGTTTCCTTTGCTAAGCTACATTTTAAAAAACTATTACCGAGGGAATAACACTCTCAATAAATTTTTAAAATAGTAATCTGATTTTAATTATTCTGCTAAAGTTTAGTCTGGATTAAGTTAAAATTTATTATGTATAAGTAACAATATAAAATAATTAAAACTGAAATATATACATATATATGTTTGACAAACGCCTTTTTTAGGATTGTCTAAAAGTATAACAACATAAAATAATTTAAACTAAAATATAAATGTTTTAAAATAAAACGAATGCTTATTTGATTCAATCAACAGGCAAAGTATATTTAAGACATCCTGATTCGTATTTACCCACGATGCATTTTCCAAGTGAAACGGATGGGGAAAGCTCTATGACCGATGGGCCGATTTCAAGGAAGGAAATTAAGACCAGAAGGACGATAAGTGGTAGGCACACAAATAATATTTTTCCATACTTTACAAATATTACAAATCTGTATATTTTGCAGAAAATTCAGAGGAGGCATATCTATTTCCATGCGCTGTCGGAGAAATTGGTTCCAACAGTAATATTTCGGTTCGACTGTGTGAAATTGAAGATTCTGAGTTGGAAGAGTTTTTACCACAACAACAAACAAACAATTAAATGACATGCTAAATATATAAGAACTACATTTTACACAAATTATTTGATTTCGTTAGATACTATTTTCCATAGGAAAAACTTTGGTTATATATTTTCAATAAAAAATACATAAACTAAAACAAAGGTAATTCGTGTAGTTTCAAGGTAAGTTTACATTAACTTATTTATTACTTATTATATTATTAAATTATGACAGTGTATATTAATTTTGTAAAAGCGATTTCTGAAAAAAGTTGCGCTCTCTACTTTCTTTTGCTTGCTTTCGCCAACTTTTGGGCCATATAACTATTTCTCAATTTTTGCAGCTTGTTTGACTTGCCAAACCATTTGTTGAACTTTGCCATCAGCTGAAATTAAAATACGTTAAATCATTATTATTTCGGATAAACTTTTGTAACTGTATACCTTCTCCTCTGGAGGAAAAATTGGAGGTTCATTCTTGCTGATAAAATATTCTAAGAACTCATTGGGGTCCAATGCCTCATTTTTAAGGCGCATTTTTCGGTCGATACTTAAGGTCTGATTTATGTTGTCATTGATATCACCGGAGTTATAAGCTTGCAAGACTCTTGCCAGTGCAGAGTATGCGTACTCCGGCATATCATCCGGGGCGTTTTCGGTCATAAGCTCTAGCCAAAGCAGGAAACTAGTGCCGTAATCGCACTTCGGGATTAGCAGAACTTTTTGGAACGCTTTTTTAATGCCCGCCTTCGCCGCCCAGGGCATAGAACTTGTGCCGACGAGGACAATTTTATCGTTTTTCTTGAGAGGCTTCAAAATTTTACTGGCTATGGAAGATCCCAGAAGTCTTGGTTTTATATCTACTGCCTCAGGGGGTATCTTCTTCCAAAATAATCGATGAGCTTCATCGAAAAACATTATGGTGGGTTGAAACTCCCGCGCCACCTTTACAACAACATGTAAAAAGTACTTCAAGTCATCGGCGTACTTATAAGTCTTCTCAGGACTTAGATTCATAAAAACTGCGTCTGAATTATAAATGGTGAATAAAAGCTACAAATAATTAAAATTTGTATATAACCTACCTAGTTCTGATGCAATGATTTGACACAACAATTTCTTTCCGGAATTTAGCGGTCCAATAAGTAAAAGAGACTTCGGTTTTGGAATATTAAATTCGCCCATTCCTAGCATTGACTCTTGAATAACCATTTTAATATCCCCTTTGGCTGGACCCAATGTTCTAGAATAAAACACAAAATTCATTAAAATTAGGGGGTGTAATATGAAGAAATGATGCGAATTGATCTTGTACAATACGCTTTAAATAATTTAAATTACATACGTCAAGTCATCTTCATTCCTAGTGTCGTCTGCCACAAAATTAAAGTCCGCAATAAATTCATCGAAATCTTTATGAGAAACTTCCTCTATTATTCCTCCATCCTTTAGTTCGTGGTACAAGGACTCAAGAGTTCTATCGCCTGTCATATCCTTTGGCTTTTTCTTCTTCTTATTTTTCTTCTTTTTTGGATACTTTACTTTCAGAGCTTTATATTTCTCATTTTTATCCTTTGCTAAAGCCTCCCGAAGCAATTCGTACTCTACCCTAAAAATTAACATTTTAAATGTTTCAAAATATTCTTAGGGATTATGATTATTAACAAGAGATTGACTTAACCTCATGTATTCGTCGACTAGGCCTCTAACTTCCTGATGTATCTTTACAAGTTCATCCTCTGTCACCCACTCTTTTATGGGATCATGATTTTTGTTAAGATATTCATCAACGTTCCTCCAGTCCTTAGCATATGTCTTCATTGTTTCTTCGATTCTTTCTAAAAGTTGTTAATATTTGGAAACGTAATAGCTAAACATCTAAACTCGATTTTCTTTAGTAAGTTACCTATAGGCTTGCTTGCAGTTAGCTCATAGCCAATATCTATGATTCCGGCATCTCTCAGTTTCTTTCGGCGTTTGGCTTCCTTCATTTTTATTAATTTAAGCTTTTCCTTCTTTTTCTTTTTTTCTTTTTTTTCCTTGTCTCGAAGTTTCTTTTTCTCTTCTTTTGTCATCGGCTTTTTACCTAACGTCTGCTGAAATTCCATTGGAGTCATTGTTTCATCGATTACAACTAATACCGTGCCTTTTTTCACAGGATCAGGATACGGATGAAAGTTTTGCGTCTTTTCGTAACTGTGAAGTATGTGTTACTTTTTTTTTTTTTTTTTTTTTTTTTTTTTTAAGGTAACTTACAATTCCCTGAACCAATCCCGAATGTGGTCGGATATATCTTCCATCATCCATGGGCTTCGGACTTGCAATAGCCTAGTGCGTTCATCATTAATCAGGTTAATGAAGTCTTCATCTAGCTTTTTTTTTAGCATTTCGTTTTTGTACATTTCCATAATTGAGTTTGCATTCTGGTTTGGTCGCTTCAGTTTTCTTATTTTCTTCATACCGTACAATTCCTCCTTAAACCTTTTCCTTATTTTAACTACTTTCCGTGTTCTGTAACCTCGCCACCAGCATTGGATTTTACAAGCAGCATTATTTCGTATTCTATTAATGGAATCTTCATCTAAAAGGATTTTCATTATATACAATAGCAGTTGACTTTTTTTAAGCTAGTGCAATTTTATTTAACAAAACGAGTGTTTAGTGAAAATCGACTTTCGATGCATGTATCATTTGTTATTTGATACCCAACTGCACATAAAAATTTTATTTAAACGTTTTTTAATATTTACCATCCTCTGCTGTCTCCACAACATCGTCCTTTTTTCGCAAGTTTTCACAGGATTCATCAGGTTTCAAGAAATCAGCTGCAAATATAGTTCTCTTAACGGGAATACTCATCGTCTGATCCGGTTTAAACGTAAATTTATAATTGATTTTTTTTCTTTGATGGACCTTGAGGAACTTCTTCTTGTCATACTTTATGTTCGACTTGTATACCCGAGCCTGGCGTGCCCGCTCATGAGCTTGGATGAGCTCCACGGCCTCACTGATAGGAACCCAATCCTGTGCCGCCTTCTCTTCCTTTTCCTCCTCGTTCATGTACAGCCGATTGTCGGCTATGATATTTTGTATATCAAGTGGACGGCGGTACAGAAACTGTGGCGATCTCCATATGACCAAATCCCGGGGAGTTAGCTTCCTGGCGATCAATGCTTTGTCTATATATATATATTCGCTCATTTCCAAATCCTTTAACTCCTCCTTGAGTTTCATCAGCTGCTGAGTCGCACTTTCTACCAAAACACGAACTAAGGCCCGCTTTTGGACTTGGAAAGTATTGTGGTAAATGAAACCTAACTTTTCTACCAACTCCACATATAAAACGTAGAGTTCTGCGAAAATTTTAAATGATACTGCTTTTTCCTGGGGAGGCTCTATCTTCTTTAAGCGGTTCTGTTTTTTGATTAGTTGCCCAATTTCCTTTCGTGTGGACACCCAAAATTTATGATTCAAATCGAAAGACATTATGGATTTTATCTTAACGTTTGGCTTGCAAAATAAAAAATAAAAATGGGGCACGTTAAGAATATAGACTGTATTTATTTGTTTCTGTACACTAAATAAAAATAGGTCGACTACCTGATTTTTCAAGGGTTACTTAGTACCAATATAGTTTTTGATTTTATATAAATTTATCACTGTATTTCACTTATGGCAAGGTAATCAGGGAATCCTGAAAGGTACAACCACAGCCTCTTTGTGGTCGATTTGTATGTGCGAAACGCTGATGTGCGCTTTCTCAGTGAAGAGTTTCATCTGAAAGTAGACAAAATGTACGCTTTTTAAAATAACAAAGTTTGGTCATAGCCTTATTTGGTAATAAATTCTATATAAATTAATCAATGATCTTTTTATTTTTTTTAATTAAAAGGTTTTTCGCAGAAATAAATATTGATAGTTTCGTTTCTTTTTTAAAAGGTCATTGATTGCCATATAGACAACATTTTTAAATTGTTTGCAATATTGTGATACTTACTTGAGCAGTATCCTCGGGTGAAATTGGCTTAGACAAATAGAATTGATGACTGGGCACATCTTTAAGGAGCCCTGTAGTCAACAAATATTAGTAATTAATGAAATAATCATATTGCTTTTTAAGTTAAACCTTTTAGTGAGATACTGGGGTGCTGAACGTTGTTCCACTGCTGATGCAACCGCTGCGAGTACAGTCTAATTCTGTCGGCGTACTCCTGGTGCTCCAAACTATGGCAGTCCATGGCCCCAACGTTTATCATGTTTCTGGAAATCGAAATTGTGAAAACATGAGATTATCCGTTTTGTTATCAGTAAGGGACCCCCGGTTTCCAGATGTTCGCTAACCAAGAACTATTAAATTTCTTCATTAATGTCACAACTACATATTAACATATACCTATGCAATTTTTATAAAATTGCGGATTATACAGGCAAGGTCTATATTGTTTTAGGAGATTTAGAAGGAAAAATGCCACATAAATTTGACTACACTCTTAGTGCAGACAGACATTCGGTAATTGGTAAAATGGAAGGTTCATATTGTTCCAGATATGGTGCACTATAAGGGAAAAAGGTCCTATCCTCTGCCCTATAAGTATTCAACTTTAAAGGGGTATTATATTAATTTTATAAACCTGCAGATATTACAGACAGACAATCGAAAATGTGTAGGATGGAAGGTCTTTAGTACTTAGGCTGGGATGCCATAACTAACATCATGTAAAAAACTGAATTCCTGTCCTATTAGCAAAGGTAGTACTCATGTTATTGCACTAAAGAATGTTGATAGCACCTTCCATTGCCTTCGTATGTTATATTGTTATTGTTATACTTTATGTGTGTACTCTGGTGTCGGACGATGAAAGACCATATCAAAACACGCCCATGCGGGTGACATACATCGCAGTGTTCTGCACCAATCTGGAGAGAGCGGTTTGGTCATCCTTCTTGGGAAGGGAGTGGGCATAGTCGTTGCTGAGGCCATCGGAATTGCTCCTCCGAAGGGCAGGACTGTGGTTCACGGGGTCCACCAGAAGGTGTGTCCTCTCGTTCGGCTCGTTGGGCTGCAGGTAAGACGCAATACTGTAGTCGATTCTCGGACAAAGTAGGATCTATGGGTTACCTGGGCACCCGTGTCCTCGGTGCATTGCCAGCAGTTGCAGATCGAGGCAAAGTAGCTCCAAACCGAGTGAACGTAATCCATTCTAAATGCAATTGTTCTTTATGCAAGTTATTATGTTAGAGATGGTTGAAACTTCGAGTCGATATCGATACATCGATGCTTCTAATGTTATGTTCGAGGTTGTTATGTTAATTTACACGTACAATAGTTATTAAAGTCAATTGGAAGATTAAATATATGCATTCAGACATTTATAATTATTTTTTAAATGGACTTCATGCGTAAAAATCGTTTAAAGTTCATCGATAAATTTGTTTATTGTCCAAAAAATATCGATAATCATTTTTGTTGCTCCATCTTTACTGCAAGTGTGCCCGACTTCGGTGGTGTAGAAATAACAGAAAATATTTGGCGCAATAATATCAAACAACCTTTTAATAGGGATATTCCAAGCCTCTACAATAAAAACATATTTCCTATTAATAATTTATATATTTCCTATTAAATTTATTTTGTATTTTATATTTAGAAGTTATAAATAATTTATATGACAATCCCCAATTATAAATTGTTGTTTTTCATTATACAAACAAAATAAAGCTTCCAAAACAAAATATCCATTAGGGCACTATATTTGTATACCCCTTCAGAAATTATTATAAGGAGGCATTTGCTATCCTATAAAGTATATATACTCTAGATATTATTTATATTTTTTAATAAATTTAATTAATTATAAAAAGATGTGTAATTTTTTTTTTTTGATTACAAAAAAACTCTCGCTGTTTCTAAAATAAAAAACAAACTAGCAACAAACTCTGAGGATAAATGATGGTGCCCGTAATAATCAGATGCCTACAACTCTAACACTTCTGGCGAAACTCCTTTTTTGTATTGTTTCTGTCAACAGTTTATTAAAGAAAAGTAAAAATATTAATTTATAATATAACTACCAAAAACAGCAAAAACTGCTACGGGCGTCTGAAAAATATCCTTTTACTCGTTTTATATATTTTAGCTTAAAGCTTCTTTGGGAGTTTACTATTAAAATTGATTTTGGTTTGTAAAGCTAAATTCACAGAAGCACCGAAATCCTTGAGGGATTTGACTTTGCATTTCAATTTTCTACGCAAACTAGTCTTTCAGCTTTAAAGGAATCTGCATAAAACTATCCCAAAAGCTGTCATTCTGTTGCAGGTTGTATGTAAATTGGAACGAGTCGGTTCAGATGACTATATCCTAAAGCTCCAATAGGAACAATAGGGAAAAAAATTAAAAATTATATAACTTTGCAGTTTTATAAAAGTCGGACTTCAGATGCAAGGGTACATACATAAACTTTGGCTTGCCGAAGTTTGCTTCCTTTTTGTTTTTAGTAGATTAGATTAGAAGAAATGTCTTTAAAGCTCGTGGTAAAACTTTAACATAGTTTCCGAAAACATATAAAAAATATATTTTAAATATTCTTTTTGGCTATATTTAAAAAAAAATAAATATATGAAATATTTCCTTTACCATTTCTTGTCCATATCCGCAGAACGGAAGCAAATCAAATTATATACATTGCAGATTAATGAAGATGTCTCTCTTGCAGGCAACGGATGAAGCTTATCTCGATTCGTCCTTCGTGCCAATCAAATGAATTGGGCTGCACATTTTTAATTGTGTCGCTCGCTTCAAAAGGACGAAGGAGCGGAATACAGCAGCCCCACGCACGGCACGCCCTTAAATCAACGACGCGGTTAACCATGATGGCGAAGGCAGCGAGGCGAAAACGCGAATTCATTGCCGAGGTTGCAAGACAAGGGAACAAGGGTGCCAGTGCTGTCAGTTTGTCCTTTCTCAAACACTTTCAGTTTTTATTTTTTTAGCAAAATATATAAGTCATTGAATAAATTTAGTGCATGTAGCCTAAATTGCATGTTAACTCTTGTATTGAAAAACATTTTTCCACGGAACGATACGAACTTTGTACTTTTTGATTTTAGTACTTACCATTTCCCCTTCTTAATTTATATACCAGCTACTCATAACAAGTAAAATATATATTCAAGTTTTGATAAGTATCAAAAACCTAGCCATGTCCGTCTGTGCCAGACTTGGCAGAGGTCAAAGCTGTATATGATTATTTCCAAATCTCCATTACTTTAGAAATTATGATGGCGTCACCTTAAACACGATTATTTTCAAAGTTTGTATTTTGTTTAGGATTTGGGTTTGGCTTGCAAAATAGGCTCTCAGCACCTCTGATGTGTGCCGCGATGATATCTCTCATCGCATCCCGAATCCGTGCTCCACCTCGCAACTGACACCACACATCCATCCATTGCGGCTAACGCACTCTCACACTCGCCTGTAACTTGTAACTTCATTTTGCCTCGCTTTTGTTTCCTTTCCGTTTCTTGGCAGCGGAAGCCGGGCCAGAAATTTCATAACTGCCACAAGGAGCAGCTTCACTTCAAATTCAATTATCCTCCGCATGTACTCGGTCCCCAAAGGATATCGATCAGGACATCCAAAGACGTACATATGTCTGTGGTTTGTTGTCTGCGAATCGCTGACATCTATTGTAAATTTCCTATACGCTATTACTTTGCAGTTGGGTACACTGGGATGAAAATATCAATAAAAACGAACGTTAATGTCTTTTACCTGAGTGAGTAATTTCCTGACCAATCTTATAAAGAAGAAAAAGCATTTATAGAAATGTTAGCATATTAATCTTCACAACGCTTAAAATATCTCACCTTCTATTGATAATGAACTAAATATCTTATTTATTAATTATTATTGCCAGTTGTTGGATACAATTTTTTATTTTTCAAAACCCTGAACAGCTCAATTGCCATTTCTACCTACTTTCCACTCACGGATTCGTTTAATTTCATGGCTCGGCACAGTTTAATTTCTGCTAGCTCAATTGGACTGGATGGGCTTCCTCCACTCTAGGAACTCTGGGCGAAAAACCTCAACCACATTAGCGATTTAATGAACCCCACGAAGCAGTTTGCCACTTGATTGCCAGCGGCCTGGCTCAAGAACCTGCCTGATTGGATTCAGCTGGTGTTTTATCTACGCCTCAGACTTGCAGCGCCAACGCGCGCCCATTGGGCCACGCCTTGGGTTCGGGTTCAGGATCCTCCGGCTCATTGTTGCATCGACAAAGAAAACCCAATTTACATAGAATAACTGCGGATTATCGGAGCAACTCCCTCGTCGAACCCCGCAGTCCAGCCGCAAAAATGCGCGCTGGCAGCTTTTTTAATATGCAAAGCGGGCAGCATCCGGATGCCACATCATCCTCCGACCACGTCCACGACCACCTTCACCTTAACTTCACGTCTCCGGATAAACAGAGCGGCGCAAA